AAAAAAACTAAAAGTACACAATACGGAGTTATTTAAGACAGAGATTTGCCTGCTACCACTCAACTTGGCAGAATGTGGCGCCGACAATCAACAACTGAATGGTCAAATCCTCAAGCGAAATGAAAATTTCAAGCGTTCCGGTATCAAAGCAAGATCTACAAAAAACCGGTAAGTGCTTTACAGTTGTAAAAAAAAGTGTATTCAAAATATAATGATTAAGACTGGAATTTCTCGGTAAACTCTGGCGAAAAACAGTTCAGTTAAAAGTCACAATTTTAACTGTTTTTCTTTCATCGCAGGGAGTCGCTCGTTGGTGTCAATGCTGGACTGAAAGTTTATGGAAATATTTACTGGAGAATTATTAAAAGTTACTCCAGTAAACATTCCGCCAACTGCTCCTGCCATCAGGTAACTAGAACGACTGGCATTGCTGTCAAGGTCACTAGTAGCTGCTGTGTTGCTTGGCGTGGCTGAGCTATTGAGAACAATCTCCCGTAAAGCATGACTTGAATAGCCGTTGGTAGTTGTCGTGCTTGGCGTGGTTTGAAAGCGGCCAACTTATTCGATATTCGCCGCTGTTTTTCCAGAGGATTATGGCTGTAGCTGGATATGGATTCCGGATTGGCGTGGCCAGTGAGCTCTTATAACCTCAGCGGGTCGAAATCATCACGGAGCGCTTGGATGACTGTTTGCGACCACTCGAATTTGTGAATTTGCCGTCTAGGGAGGCGATGGACACAATACTCTACATATGTTTTGCCAATGCATTTCTACCAGTTGGAACCATCTTGTACCAGACATTGGATTTGGGCTCTCAATTGGACTCAGGTAGAAATTTCCAGGAACGTTATCACCCTTCGGACGGTGACCAACGTACTCGATAAATGCTCTGTGCGGATCTCGCTCTCCACCATCCGTCCTCCAAATTTAGTTGTTTTAGTTTCTCGCCCGTTTTGTCGCAGTCGGTTAGTCTCCCTGGCGGTTCTTGGTTTGTCGCTCTTTGTATTCGATGTACTGTTCTGGCACGATGAAATCACTTAGTTGACAATCATGTTGTTCTTAGGTGTGTAACATTGTTTCACCAGACCAGATGGAGAAGAGAGCGGGGATTTTGAAGGCCGATTGCACCTGACGACCACATCTTTTCAATGTCTTGTTTCAACTGGTTGAGCGGCATTTGGTTTGTTGCCAAGACCCTTTTCCTTGAAATCTTTTTTCTTCATGGATAGCATCGTTGAAACTTCCTCGAACTCAATGAACGAAGATTTTTCGAGGCCGAAGTTATCTGTTGCCGGTGGACATAGACGCTCCAGAAAGTACCTTCGTAAACCATTGCGGTAAGTTTGTAATGTTCCTGGTTCATATTCTTTGCTTTTTTTTTCTTTTGTCGTCTGCCTTATTTCTAGAAAGAAGTGCTTGAGGAGCTGCGGTGCATCTTCCTTCGAAATTGCTTCGAGATTAATTTGTTTTCCGTGTTTCTTCTTGAACCAAGACTGCAAGCGGCGTACGGATGTACTTGTACTTCTTTTAGTGTTTTTTGAAACCATGTTGTCTCTAGTAGAGGCCAGTTCGTCCTCTTTACAGGCTACAATGGTTGGATTTCCGGAAAAGATGCTTGACCTTTTTCGGCATTAATACCTGTTTGGTTTTCTTTCGTAACGCTTGTTTGGTTTTCCTCGGCAAGAACTGTCGTTTGGCTTTCTTCCCTCGTCTCTGGCATTTTGATTTTTTTTCTATGCGTTTTTTCGTACTTTTGAGCGTGAGTGGTTTCCTCCAATTTTATAAAAACTTGAATTTGAATTCAAAATTTGGAAGACATTCGTTTTCTAAAATTTGTTCATATTTGTTCATATTTTCGTAGCACTAGTTACATTTACGTTTTTACGTTCGTAACAATAATTTTTTATCGCGATTCACGTCAGCGATATCGCTTTCTGCATTAGTGCGATTCCACGCTAAATACCCTCTCTTCCTGTTGACGTATTGACCAATCAGAGCGCGTGTTTACCTTAAGCTATGCGATTCACTTGTATATCCTTATTTAGCGTACGGCTGCGTATTGTGGGGTAATAATTTCGAAGCTCTATTGTCTTAGTTGGTAAAACTACAACGCAAAGCTGTAAGAATCATGTAGACTTTGGCCTGATTAAGCTTCCTGACATAATTATATCAAGTACATATCAGTTGTTTTACGACCATATTGTTAGACAAACAGTCTTCTAATTTTGCACTGTCTTTTGTTTCTAAGATGCCTGATGATGCCACTAGAAGTACATGTTTGCAGCACCTGGACTCTAGCCCCTTCAGAATAAATATAAGGAGATTCTTTCCAATATTTATAGTTATAGGTTGCTTCTATTGGAATTATAATCCTGAATCTATACACCGAATCATAACGGCGGAAGCCTTAGAGAAGCCTCGGTACGAGAACATTAAAACGAGGCGGATAAGGATTTCAACAGGTTTCCTTCCCTCAAGACTCGCTCCAGGAATATCATTTTCCCGTGAGTACCACTGGAATAGTCGGTCGGCATTAGATAACATAGGGTGAAGTAGATCCGAATGATTAGCATTTTCCGATCATCGTAGTGACGTCATCTCCCGACCGCATGGTAAACTTCGGAAATTAACATAGCGACGTAATCATGAAACCAGTATGTTGCGGGCGATTGTAGGCTTTAAGCTCAGACCAGGCCACGCATCGTTTTGGTTTACGTTTGTAGACTAATCAGCAGTTCGCGGGACAAGCAGATAGATGTTTCCGGAGGAACTCACGAGCCGACCTATTCTCGAGCTACCTCACCCGATGTTATTTGGACCTTTTGCACAGGACACTACATAACATAGGGTGAGGATTATTGTTATTATTTTGAGAATTCTAAGTTATGTAGTTATC